TCCACTGAGCTATCTCGCTGGCCCCATTCAAAGAGAGTTTTGGGCTAATATGTGTCTTTGTAATCATCACTGTGTCAAGGGCCAGCCAGATAGCTCAGCAGATTAAAGTGCCTGCAGAAGCCGAGCAGTGGCTGGGGTTTGATCCATGGCATGCTGTGCCAGCCCTGCCCCTGGGGCACACTGAGAGAGCAATTGAGACTGGGCGTGGTGGTGCACACCTGTAATCCCAGCTCTCGGGAGGCTGAAAACAGCAGGATCACTGAGTCTGATCTATGTAGTGAGACCCTGTAGACCCCGTACTAATTCATTAATAATAATAATAATAATAATAGCAATCACTGTGTCAATATCTTACACTTTACTTCCAGGATAATGACACACAGTGTATAAACTATTGTTATTCTCCTTTTTGTTATAAAATTTTGTTTTGTTGTTTCATAAAATGAAGGATATTCAATGAAGAAATAAGCAGCACAGGAGCTCCCCCAAAATGAAATAATACATTATCATCTTTATACATTTTTGAAAAATGATTCCATTTCAGAGCCAGGTAGTGATTCCGATGATTTAAAACTTCCTTGTTCCACATGAACTTTCCTAACCATAAAATTAAAAGGAAAAAATTTGACTGCTCAAGTTCCAAGTTCAGGCCGAAACATTCACATTTTAAACCACTCAAATGCCAAGGCCAACTGTATTTACACAGGGCACATTTAAAAAAAAAAAATGTTCTTCCCTTTGGTTGCTTCAGTTCTGGTGTCAGGATTTTAGTAATTGTGGTGCATGCCTGTAATCCTCCCACTCAACAGCGCGAAGCAGGACAATCACCACTAGTTCAAAGCCAGCCTGAGTTACCAGTGAGTTCAAGGTCAGCCAGAACTACATAGCAAGACCCTGTCTCAGACAAATAAATAAATAAATACATAACCAATAAAATTTTTTGTCAATAATTACACAATGAAACCTTTTTGATTTTTTTTTTCCTTCCGGTACCAGGGATTGGACTCAGGACTCTGCACTTGCCAGGCAGGCGCTTATTCTACTGCGCTATCTCCTCAGCCCTAGATTTTTAAATAGATGTTTTACTTATTTTTTCTCTTGTAGTGTCTCAAAAGAGCTATTACGTTGAAATAACACAGTGGTTACCTATCATGCATATTTCACTGAATACTGTTTTAAACTTCAGAAAATGTAGGACTTAGCTCCCAGCCAGTCTTCTCCCTATATTAACCACAGTTTTTATTATGCGCCCAGTTCTCTTCATTAGGCCTTCTCTTTCATCAGAACTTCCCATCCTGCCAGGCTACTGGGCACTTACTAATGAGCTAGGTGCATTTCACAGCCTAGTCACTGGGTGCTGTGGTAGATGGCCCCATCACGACATCCGCTGGAGGGGGGCCATGGTTATGCCAGGGCCAAGCAGAGATTGCCGAGGTCTCAGCCCTCTCTCCTCATTCCTACATTGTTTCAAATGAGGGGAAGAACACAGGAGACAGCAGCATGTGGAAGCTGGAGGGTTTTCCAGTGGAATGATTTCTTTCTGCCCCATGATCTGGGTCATCTTTACAGAGTCTACTAGTTACTTTTACCAAGCGTAGATCATTTCTATTACAAAAGGAAAAACTCTATCTGAAGCAGTGCAATGCTTAACTTCTCAGCTTAGGACATAATAATAATAATAATAAATGTCATTTTAGATAAGCTGCAATATTTGCAAAGAAAGAAAGAAAATGATAATTTGTGTCTTTTCTTCCTTATATACCTAGAATATTCCAATAAAAAAATCTCTAAAAACCTTTTGACTTCTAAAGTTCTGAGGTAACAGGCACAATAGATCCTTCTTCTTCTTTTCTTTTTTTTTTTTTTTTTTTTTTTTAATGCATTTAGTGCAGGGTCTACAGGGTCACACTACGTAGATTGGACTCACAGTGATCCTCCTATTTTCAGCCTCCCAAGCACTGGGATTATAGGTGCGCACCACCATGCTCAGGCTCAATGAAATCTCAATGCACCCCGGGGTATGGCGCCAGCACGGCATGATGGGGATCAAACCCCAGCTACAGAGCTCTGCCTGAGCAGGCGCTTCAGTCTGCTGAGCTATCTGGCCAGCCCTCAGGCACAATAGATCCTAAAGATTCTGCCAGAAAGCACTAACCATGCACGTAAGGTTCAATCTATGCTTGCAGAATGGTGCAGAATCTTGGAGGGACTGGCAGCCTCTTATGCCAAGAAGACAGCCTAACACAACCCATCCATTCAATGTCAGACAATGACCGCTCTCCAGCACCTACAGACACTATTTTATAACTATACACTACACATAACCTTTCTCACTTAAAGTTTTACAACCTCAAGTTGTACAACCAAACAAAATACAGGCAAGTGAGTGGACTCCACTATCTCTTAGGTCCCCTCCTTTTCTCTCCTTCCTGATCAATGAAGTCACTGCTAAATATTCATTTATCTACATGGCTAAGAATGAATTAAAAACCTACTCATGTAAAATTATGTATTATGTATTTTAAATATTATGTAAATATTATGTATGTACTCACATGTATGTGTTCTATGTCCATTTTGATTCATGATTTTATTTATTTTTTTAATTTATTTA